TTCCCCTTCTGAATCGAGCGTGAATGCTGGGCGTTTACGCAGAATGTTGCGCACTGTCTGGCGCGCATGTGCGTCCCGGTCACGATGAACGGCAGTGTCCAAGAGGTCTCACTGCACCACCATGTATCGATCAGACCCGTCATCAATCTGGGGGTGATATGCTGCGTTGATCTTCATACGATTGGACGCGCGTACTTTGTCCCAGTACTCTCGGCATTCCACTGGCATCTCCAAAGTGAAGGCAGGCTGCCCTGCAGAACTCTGAGCAGGTTGCCCCGCTGGACGCTGAGCTGCCACTGGTGTTGCAGGTGCCGGCGCGCTCGCCGCCGATATGGCAGCGCCAGCAGTTCCCCTGGGCGTCCGAGGAGTTCCTGTCGGGGTACTGATGTCGAAGTCCTGGCGTGTCTTCTCCTTGATGTTGTAGGACTCGACTGTCTTACCTTTGGGGGCCATTCCTGGTGCCTTCGATGAGGTGGCCAATAACTTTTCGGCACCGCGCCTCGTTGAGGAAGCGCCCCTTGTTCGCCCTTCCAGCGCGGGCGCCCATCCTGTCCTGTGCGCCCGACCTGGTGCGGGGCCGCGACGCGGCACAGGTTCCTTTGGAGTGGGGGCACTGGTGCCCTGAAATGCAGCTGCAGCGGCAGCCACTGCCGGTTCTCTGGATCGACGTCGGTCAGCAGATTGCCCCGCAGATCGCTGCTGTTTGCTGTCTCCAGGGTTAGGATCACCTGGGCTCTTCCTCTTCTGTCTTTTAGGTCTGAACTGATCAGGGCCAAGCAATGGACTTGATGAGTCCGAAGATGGAGGAATATCGATGATCGCCTCTGGCGTCGGCTTAGGAGCTGGCTTAGCCGTGGCCCCTGCCGGTGCCCCTGGCCCACAACGCATGGGGCCTCGGCCAGGGTTCAAATCGCAACCATCTGGCGCCCTGGGGGCCATGTTCTTGATAGTGGTTTTGTGTTTACCTGCGAGAAGGTACGTGGTAGCGCTGCGTCGTTCGACTATGCTTGTCTCTATCCAGCCCACGCCTTCAGCGCGGTAAGCAATCCGCCTCTCAGGGGAGAGATCCATCTTCTCAGTAACAACGTACTTGGGATCGATCAGAGTGTTCGTCTGACACGCGGCGCCCGCGAAGCCCGAATCGTCCGACGCGTGCCCTTCAGGGGCCGCGTCCGTGGGACCAACTTCTTCAGCCATCTCATCCTCTTCATCTTCATGAGCTTCTTGTTGATCTTCTTCTGATATGGAATCAGCAGGTTTCCCTGCGTGCCAATCGCGATTGACTGCGCCGAATGATGAGTAGGTACCATTTTTCCCATATGAGGCTTGTGCGGGTTATTTCATCAACTGTGGCGTGGTCGTAATCATTCTCCGTCAACTGCTCCTCATGTTGCGCTGTGCTAGGACCGGCGCAGTAACCCCGACCATCACCATGAGACCAAACCCACGGTGTCCTTTTGAAGTTCGGGCTTCTTGATGGGCGCCCAAGCCTGTGGTCGGCAAAATGGAAGCACGAGCAACAAACACCTCGATACATCTTCCGTTCCTCGATGATAGCTCTCTTGATATTGCGCGTGGCCATCTTATCTTGTGATTTCGCGGGCCCAGTCCTTTTTGAGCGAATGATCTTGCCGCCCTCGTCTCGTTTAAATATTGCGAAGAGGATGCCAGTGACGGATCTGGCGCTCGGGCCCGCCTATATCCAAGCAGCGCTGCATCTTGTCTTGGGGCGCGCGCTGACGGGCCAATCCAGCTTCCGCGCAACCAAGAAGGCGCCGCATTCCACCTTCTGAATATTCTTCTCGCGGTTGATCATCTTGGGGAGGGTGTCCCCGCAGGCGCCCCCTCCTTGGGGGGGCGTCAGGTCTACGGGCCTGCTATGGCGGGGCCTTTGGGGGCCCCGCGTCAAGGGGGCGAGGGCGCTGACGACCGCTAGAGCGAACGCCGCTGGAGCGGGCGCGCGCGCGATCAGGTGAGCGACGCGGGGCCCGACCGCGACGTATCATGCGGTCGCTATCTTCCCGTTCTTCGTCCTCGTCGTCGTCGCGGCGCTTCCTCCAGACCGGGCGGCTTGCCGATCGCTTCTGGCGGCTAATGGACCGATCTGAAGCAGCAGAAGTATATTGACATTCCTCATTATGACCTGGCTCATATTGAATACGCTCGAATAAATCTCCAGCGTCTCGCGGGCTTCCCCGCAGAGGATCATCATCAATTAATTCCATGTCTGTCGGATTTCCAATCGCCCGAGGATAGAGCACCGCCTGTATTTTTCGTCTGTTGCAGGAATGGTAGATTCTGAATCCGCGGGTGCCCCCGCCATGCCAAAATCTCCTTCAGCGGGCATGTGGAAGTTCTCGACAAGCTCGAAATCTGCAGGTTGCCCCGCGACGGGTATGCCCAGCCATTCGGCCGAATCGATATCGTCGTGGCTAGTGAACACCTCCTCGAACAGCTCGTCGGCGCAATTCTCGAGGGTCGTACTGGCGCTGAGATATCCAGCAACCATGAAATCAGCAACTGTCGCTGAGCTATCGGCAGGGCCAGCTAGAAGTGACCCCCAGTCAACATACTGCATGTCGGAGTCTGTTTGAGCCAGATGCGTTGACGGACCCCTGCCTCTCCCATCACCTCGAGGGCATTCGCGTCGGAAATACTGTGTGCTGTGGCATATGTCGCGCTCCATAGTTTTACCGTTGGCATCCTTTGGGTGCCCCCGTCGTCCTTTGCCTTTGCCTGATGCGCGCCTGCGGTTTCTGCCAGCACCTAAGAACATTTCTTCGTGCTGAGGTCCAGTAAGAGATGCTAGGAATGCTAATATTCCCTCTACCATGCAATCGCCGACGCTTACCTTTACCTTTACTTCGGCCCTTGCCTTTTCCTTTAAGCGATCGTCGTGCGATGCACCTTGCCCGTCGGAGTGGTTTCTTCGTGAATCTCCGCCAGCGACGCTGGTGTTTTTGATGGCCTAAGAATAACCTTCGCGCTTGTTGCTCTTCAGTAAGGTATGTAGGCATATCGGAATAATCAAGGGCGGTAGCTTCGTCATCTGAAGACGCACCTGCATCAGTACCGGAGTCGAAGTCGGGCTCGGCGGGTTGCCCGCTGAGCCCATTAGGGCCATGGCTTGCACGGGGGAAGCCGCGTCGGGCGGCCCCCGAAGCCTGGCCCAGGAGTCATGCGACCCCGAAGCCGTTCCACCATTCTGAGCCAGCAGTGTAGTGGTCTCAGTTGGTTGTGGATCATCATTCCAGACGTTGTTGGCAGGCTGCCCTGCGTTAGCCTCCACGTGGAAGGTCTCGGCTCGGTGACCGTGACTGAAGATGCCACCAATATTGCCGGGGGCTCTCTCAGCAATGTGAGCGCACGACCTCACGCGTTCAAGTAGAGCGTCAAGTTGTTGTTGGTCTCTCGGCAGATGGTGGTTTAGAGACTGCAGGAGTTGTTGTGCACGCGATGTTCCAAATCCAAGGGCTCTGAATATAATCGTTGTTCGGATTTTGAAGTTGGGGCTGTTGAAGCTGGCTGTTTCAGCTTCGTAACGGGCTATCTCAAACCGTGCTAACGTCTGGTCGATACGTTCACCCGCATGGACTCGGAAATCAATGAGAGCCGTGCCAGAGTTGAGTTGGCGCTCCTCTTCTAAATTCTCGAACTTCGTGCGTAAGAAGAACATAATATAGGTGGCGCCGTCAGTGTGGCGGCCACCTATGCTGACGCCAAAACTAATAACGGTTCGAGGGGCTCTCATGGCAATGGTCCGTGCGAGACCTCCCACACCTCGCTGCAGAGCTGCAGCCTGCTAGGAGGGCGTCATATTGCCTGTGGTCACATCGATCCAGGCATGTAGTTCGCGGACGAATTCGCGAAAAAGGACTTGACCGGCTGGGTCCCAATGAGGGCTGGTCGTTCTTGTGTCGTCTCTGCCACGCACATGTCCTACCGCACACCCGATAGCGACCCATGTGAGCCCAAAAATCGTAACACCAATCCAATGGCCTCGTAGGTCGTCGTCGGATGTAGTCGGTTGGGACTTCCGTTGGGTAGTCGTAAATATGCGCGGGGTCGGAGGCGGCAGTATTTCGTACCGCATGCTTCTATGCATTATATATTCGAAGAAATTTCCAAGTGGAGTAGGTGGGTGGACTTCAGGAGTGTAGAAGCGCAGGGAGGTAGGATGTAAGTAAGCGACCTCCGCTTGAACGGATGTATCGCTTCAAGTATCCTTGCGGTACCGCGTAGCTATATACATTCCTCCGCGCAAACACACTGCACCCTCATGTTCCACCATGTCCGTAATCCACCAGATAATGCTGTGGATGGTGAGGAGTAGAGCAAGAGCTGACCACCATAGGCCAGCTCCGCTACCAAGTTTGAAAGGGGCTGGGGGGCCCAGCCAGCAGCTTCGCCTGAGGCGAAGCCAAGCTCCAGCTCTGTTGTACCGTAGTAGCGATAGTCCCAGTAGGAGGGGATGTGCCATCTTAAGCAATAGGAAGATCCTTTTGGTCTCGATAGCGATTGTGTGCCTCGCAGTGAGGCACAGTCATATTTGGGCGGCCAGCCGTTTGAGCCGACGCGGCCGCGGGCGCACGCTCGCTTCCACTCCTTACGTCCCTCAGCTCGCTTTAGAGTGCCTGTGTGTGTGCGTGCGTGCGTGCGTGCGTGCGTGCGTGCGTGCGTGCGTGTGTGTGTGTGTGTGTGTGTGTGTGTGTGTGTGTGTGTGTGTCTGTGTGTGTTCGCGTGCATGACTTGTTCGAAGAGGCTAGAGATCGTCAACACTGGCCCAGAATGTCCCACGAGGGCCCCAAGACAGTCCAAGAGGGTTCCGAGACGGACCAAGAACGCTCCAAGACGCCACAGATGGCCCCAAGACGGCCCAAGAGGCGACCCCTAAAAGGGCGCCACACGGCGAGCATCATTGTTTTTGTTCCGGGAAGTTGTTGAATCGGAATCGAACTCTTGCCTTTCGGAACTTCAGCCAGCCCATGACGGCCAAGCGCCTGCACGTGCTCCTTGTCCTCAGCCTTTGGCGCCGCAGACATGGTCTTGGCCATGGCTTCGAGGCTGGCCAGCTCGGCCCCCTGCTGGGGGTTCCGAAGGAACACGCCAGCGTGAAGGGAAAACTGGTTTTGGTGGATTGCGAAACAAATTCTGGGAGTTCTTCGCAGGAGCGGTCAAGGGCGACTAAACCCGATTAAGGGGCCACTACGCCAGAGCAGGCCAGATTCACACCGGGAGTCAGCCACATCAAACAGAGACTAAACATAAATAGATGGGATTACGTCGGAGAATGCTGGTTTCGACCACGGATCTACCAACGCCGATGCTGAATTTAATCTCCCTGGGGCTGTCAGCCTTGAAAACTGGAGCGAGGCAGGATTATATCCACATCCACCGCTTGGGGAAGCGATGTCCTCGAGCCCACTGGGGCGGTGGATACGCATTTTTCTGGGTCCCCCCAACATGGGGACCGATTCTATTCATATCCACCACCTGCCGATGTCCCTGAAGATCGATCCCTCCCCGAGGCGGTGGTTTCCCGGAAGGAGGAAAGGGGTCCGGGAGCTGTTTTCAAACGCTTCGGGCCCGTTGGGGCACTCCACAGGCCCCGGGACGCTCTCAAAACGATTCAGGACGAAGAGCTTGTCCTGGAGAAAGTCCCAAGGTCTGGGGCCCGCGTTCCCCGGGAGAGTGGGCACGGAGAGAGCGGGGACGAATACCGATCGCAGTTCCAGCCCATTCTGCGCAGGACTCGCGGTCTGTGTCGCCGCGGAGGGAGGAGCGTGGTGAGGCAGGAGGAGGTGCTAAAGGGGAAGGGGGTGGGGGAAAAGCATAAGCATCAGGAGGACGAGAGCACGCCGCCTCCGAGGGATCAGTCGCGTTTGGCACAAACAGCCGCCGTCAGCATGCTCGGAGCGGAGGCCTAGAGCAGTCGGTCACCTCGCGAAACCTCGAAGCCCACCCGTGGGATCCCGGCGGAAGAAGCGCGCGAACACAAGTCGAGGACTCGACGCATGACATATGAAATAGGAAGACGAAGCCAAGCCACCTGACGAAGCCAAGCCACCTAGGAACCAGAGACGGCAAGACGGCGTATACCAGTAGAGGCCTCCGCCCAACACGAGTCGGCGGGGTGCCTCAGCGTAGTGAAGCGATGCGTGTGCGAGAGCCCACGCTTCGAGCATGGATGCGGGGGGGGTGCTCGTCGAGCAGGGAGAGCGCCCTGCCAGCTGAGATTCACCCGCGCAACAAACAAAACATTACCTTACCTGGGGCCACAGAAAGCTCGTGGCCTCTGCAGGAGGACGGAAGGAGGCCCCCATACGCGGGCAACGGAAGCTCAGGAGCCGAGCTGGGGGCCGTCGAACCGCCACGAGGACCCGCGCGCCTGACCTTTCGCTGGGGCTCAGGGGGGGGAGGGGAGGGACCACGCCCTGCGCTGGATGCCGATCCACACAAGGACTCATCAGCGTGCACTCTGCAACGGGCTTGCCTTTGGCCTTCTGACGGCATTGCGCTACCTGCCGAAAGCCTAGCTCGAACCACGCGTGCCATAAGTGACTGCTAGCGTAAACGCGGTGACCTGGGCGCATCCTCGCCTCCTAGTCTGGCTCGCACTAGGCGAATCGGCACTGGTGGCGAGTGCACTCTCACTTGACCTCGAGTGCCCCATCCCCCGTCCACGACGTCGCACGGCGACCTCCCGCCCCCCCACCAGTAATGGTGACTGGGTCAGAAGGCGCAGCCTCGTTCGTCAAGAAATATGCCGACGGTGGGTCGAACCAGCATAGACACCAGCATAGACCCAGCAGGCCCATCTTCCAAGAAGACAATCAAGCGGCTCCATCCGTTTCCATTTGACGTGGTGATAGCGGAGGACCTCCGCGCTCGCCTCCTTGGAGCACGTCGTCGCCGGGAGGACAACAGGCACGAGGAGGTGGCCGAGGAGGATGAGGAAAACAATGAGGATGAGGATGAAGACGAGGACGAGGAGGAGGACGCGGAGGAGGAGGAGGATGAGGACGATGAGAGGGAAGGGGATTCCCAGACCTTCCTCCCCATCCTCCTCCTAGAACCACGTGAGGGTTGGGGTCAACGCGCCCTTCTGGGGCCTGCCTGGCTGGGGCCGTGCCAGGTGCCTGGCGGCGGAGGCCAGAGGCTCGCGGCCGTGCCAGGCGCCGCGCCGAGCTGGGGCCGTGCCAGGCGCCGCGCCGAGCCACAGAGTGCACGCGTGTGGCAAGCGACGGGCTGCTCAGAGGCCCCCATGCAGCGGAGGTCAATCCATGAGAAGCCTCCCATCAGAAACCCAACCCTGAGACCCCAGGACGTCGCTTTGATTTTTGGAGTGGGAGCGTCACGCTTTCCGCAGCAAAACCACAGAAACCCAAGAAACCCAGGGCACCCTGAAGGCAAGCAGAGTGTTTCTTGGCATGGGCCTCCACTGTAGAGCCCCCCATAGATAGGGTCCGAGTAGATGGGGTCGCATCCGAGACGTCGGCATAGGGAAAATCGGGCTCCAAATCGAGCCGCATCGCCGATGCATGGGCGATGCGGCTCGATCCTCCGACCCCATCTGCTCCGACCCTATCCGGGAGGCCTAGACGGATATGGAGGCAATGGGGTGAGGAATAAGGGGGCTTGTCGGTTTCGTCCGCGGCGGGCTTCGCCCGCGGCCGGCATCGCCCGCCACAAATTTCGGCACGACCCGCCCGTGAAAGTCCCGCCCGCCCGCCTGGCTCGCCTGTGACGGTCCCGTCCGAACCGCCCTGCCCGCCCGTTCGGGCCCCGCCCCGGCAAAACCGACACTTGCGAAAAATCGACCACCAGCGACACCGACTCACGCCTCGGAGTAGATTGGGCAGGAGAGAGTGAGGAGAAGGGGGTGAGAGGGGAAACGACGGGGAGAGGAGTTGAAGGAATATAGCATCCAATGCCCATCCAACACAATCGAAAGAGTCCCGAAAGTTGTCGGACACCTCGCCCTCCAACTTCCTCCCCAAACAAGCTGTCCTCCTCTTCTTCCTCTACCGCATCATCCTCCTCATCACTGTCACGATCACGATCATGATCACTATCACCAGCACCATGACCATGACCATCCCCGTCGTCGTCATCATCGTCATCATCATCATCATCATCATCATCATCATCATCATCATCGTCAGCACCATCAGCACCATCAGCACCATCATCATCATCATCATCATCATCATCATCATCATCGTCAGCACCATCAGCACCATCGTCATCATCATCAGCATCATCATCAGCAGCAGCAGCACCATCGTCATCATCACCACCACCATCATCACCATCATCATCATTATCATCCTCATCAGCATCATCATCATAATCATCATCAGCATCATCAACAACATCATTATCATCATCATCACCACCATCATCATCAGCATCATCATCATCAACATCAGCATCATAATCACCATCATCATCATCATCATCATCATCATCATCATTGTCATCATGATTATCGCCATCATCATCATCGTCATCGTTGTCGTCGTCGAAACCGCTGTCGTCGTCGTCGTCGGCGGCGGCGTCATCACCACCTCCACCTCCGCCTCTTCCTCCGCCATCTCTCCATTTCCTCATTGCTTTTTGGCTGTCGCTTCCCTCTTCGAATCGCCTGGTGCAATTCTCAAGGCATCCACATACCATGCCTCTGCTCCTGTGCCACGACGCGCCGTTCCCTGACTAAGCGATTGAACTCACGCTTCTCTGAAGCCTAAGCGGTGACGTCCCCCTCTACCATCCTTTGTCATTGTAAATAGCTCCTCAATGCACACCCCTAGACGTGTTGGTAGGGCGGGCCCAGCGTTTCGCCTGAGACACCCTCACCACTCATGACCCTGGAACTTGGAATTTGCAACAGCTTCAAGAATGCAGCACAAGTCGTTTGCAAAACGATGGTTCTCACCGAAGCGCCGCGCACAATCGTCGTAAAAGCTGCGCCAGTCTGCTTCAAGGATAGAAACATCAGTTTCTACAATGTGGCTCTTGCCTGGGCGCCGCGCACATTCGTGTTAAAAAGTGTGCGTCAGCTTTACTAGCTGAGGGAGGTCGTTTTCAAAATGTAATTCTCGCCTTGTCGCCGCGCACATTCGTCTTAAAAGTTCGCACCATATTCACGGATGGAAGGGGAATTGTTTTCACAGACTGGCTCTCGCCATAGCGCCGCTTGTATCCACAACAAGTGCACAAATGGACTGGTGGTCGTTTTCAAAATGAGGTTCCTGGTGTAGCGCCGCGCACACTTTGTTTAACCGCCTTGCGATAACTTCAAGGATGGGGGCGGTGCCTTTTCAAAGTGGAATTCTCGCCCCAACGCCGCGCACATCTGTCTCAACACTTTGCAATCGGTACATAGAGAGGGAGCAGAAGTCGTTTGCAAGATGGGGGCTCTCGCCTCAGCACCGCACACATTCGTTTAGTCATTTAGGGTTAGAAGGATGAAGGACTGTACTCTTCGAAACTGGGGGTATCGCTGGAGACTTCGTTGTTTTTCAAGGCACCACGCTCCATCACATGTACAGTAGGGGCCCGACCACAAGCAACCTTCCACAAGAAACCCAACCCTGAGACCCCAGAACGTCCATTGATTTCTGGTGCAGGAAGGTCACACCCTCCATAACAAAACCATCGAAGCCCAAGAAACCCCGGGCACCCTGGAGGCAAGCAGAGTGCTTCTTGGCATGGACCTCCACTGCAGCGCTGCGCGGATCCAGGGCGGTTCTCTTCTTCGGAGCGGAGCTCTCGCTCGGAGTCTCCCCCCGAGCCCGCGGCCGCAGGTGCAATATTGCGCCACGGCTGCACGCACGGGGGGGCGGTCCTTCTCCGAAAGCGGGATGTCGCTGGACACGCTGCTGAAAAGTAAGATCGCTAAGGTCATGGCCAGTGCGCCACACGGACGGAAGGCGGTTCCTTTTCAAAGCGGGGCCCTCGCCGAAATGGCAGGCCCCACTATACTAGTCTTTCAAGGTAAGCGCTTCTCGCAGTGAGAAGGAAACCTTGCAAGGACGTATGAGGAGGGGGACGGGAAGGTTCCTTGCAGCATCGCTGA